AGAATCCCGATTTAGATTTTTTCAGATTTTCCATTTCGTTTCATTTTAGTTTTTGTTCTCGAATTAAAATTTTGAATTTTTCAATATTTAGATTTTGCAATTTTTTAATTTTATGGGAATTTTAATTTTCTATTTTAATTTTGTCGATTTTTCAATGTGTCGTTACTTTTTCGGATTTTCCATGTTTAGTTCCTTAAATTCATTTTTTGTTTACTCAATTTTAGGAGTTTTGAATTTTCCAATTTTGTAATATTTTTCATTTCTCAAATTGTCATTTCTTTGGTTTTAGAGTTTTCAAGTCTAAATTTTCCAGTGTTACGATTTTTGAAGTTTTCTTCAAATCTAAGATTTCGTAACTTTTCGATTCTTCAGTTGCTATTTAGATTTTAGATTTTTCAATTTTTCGATTTTTTTTGCGATATTTTGCGCTTTCAAGTTTCAATTTTTCAGTTCTCCAACTTTTAAATGTGTCAATTTTTCGATTTGAATTTCTCGAGTTTTCAATTTTTCGTTTCTTCAATTTTTTGATTTGCAATTTTTCAGTTTTTCATTTTTTGTTTCTTCAATTTTACGATATGCAACTCTTCGTGTTATCAGTTTAAAATCTTTCATTTTTTCGAATTTCCATCGTTCGATTTTTCAGGTTTTCAGTTTTTGAATTTCCCGATTTTTCGTTATTTTCAATTTTCCGCTTTTGCAGAATCTCGATTTAGATTTTTTCAGATTTTCCATTTCATTTCATTTTAGTTTTTGTTCCCGAATTAAAATTTTGAATTTTTCAATATTTAGATTTTGCAATTTTTTAATTTTATGGGGATTTTAATTTTCTATTTTAATTTTGTCGATTTTTCAATGTGTCGTTACTTTTTCGGATTTTCCATGTTTAGTTTCTTAAATTCATTTTTCATTTCTCAAATTGTCATTTCTTTGGTTTTCGAGTTTTCAAGTCTAAATTTTCCAGTGTTACGATTTTTGAAGTTTTCTTCAAATCTAAGATTTCGTAACTTTTCGATTCTTCAGTTGCTATTTAGATTTTAGATTTTTCAGTTTTTCGATTTTCCGTTTTTTGCGATATTTTGCGCTTTCAAGTTTCAATTTTTCAGTTTTCCGACTTTTAAATGTGTCAATTTTTCGATTTGAATTTTTCGAGTTTTCAATTTTTAATTTTTTCAATTTTTCTGTTTCGATTTTATAATTTTTTGTTTTTTCAATTTTTCGTTTCTTCAATTTTTTGATTTGCAATTTTTCGTTTCTTCAGTTTTACGATATGCAACTCTTCGTGTTATCAGTTTAAAATCATTCATTTTTTTCGAATTTCCATTGTTCGATTTTTCAGGTTTTCAGTTTTTGAATTTCCCGATTTTTCGTTATTTTCAATTTTCGGATTTTGCAGAATCCCGATTTAGATTTTTTCAGATTTTCCATTTCGTTTCATTTTAGTTTTTGTTCTCGAATTAAAATTTTGAATTTTTCAATATTTAGATTTTGCAATTTTTTAATTTTATGGGAATTTTAATTTTCTATTTTAATTTTGTCGATTTTTCAATGTGTCGTTACTTTTTCGGATTTTCCATGTTTAGTTCCTTAAATTCATTTTTTGTTTACTCAATTTTAGGAGTTTTGAATTTTCCAATTTTGTAATATTTTTCATTTCTCAAATTGTCATTTCTTTGGTTTTAGAGTTTTCAAGTCTAAATTTTCCAGTGTTACGATTTTTGAAGTTTTCTTCAAATCTAAGATTTCGTAACTTTCCGATTCTTCAGTTGCTATTTAGATTTTAGATTTTTCAATTTTTCGATTTTTTTTGCGATATTTTGCGCTTTCAAGTTTCAATTTTTCAGTTCTCCAACTTTTAAATGTGTCAATTTTTCGATTTGAATTTCTCGAGTTTTCAATTTTTCGTTTCTTCAATTTTTTGATTTGCAATTTTTCAGTTTTTCATTTTTTGTTTCTTCAATTTTACGATATGCAACTCTTCGTGTTATCAGTTTAAAATCTTTCATTTTTTCGAATTTCCATCGTTCGATTTTTCAGGTTTTCAGTTTTTGAATTTCCCGATTTTTCGTTATTTTCAATTTTCCGCTTTTGCAGAATCTCGATTTAGATTTTTTCAGATTTTCCATTTCATTTCATTTTAGTTTTTGTTCCCGAATTAAAATTTTGAATTTTTCAATATTTAGATTTTGCAATTTTTTAATTTTATGGGGATTTTAATTTTCTATTTTAATTTTGTCGATTTTTCAATGTGTCGTTACTTTTTCGGATTTTCCATGTTTAGTTTCTTAAATTCATTTTTTATTTACTCAATTTTAGGAGTTTTGAATTTTCCAATTTTGCAATATTTTTCATTTCTCAAATTGTCATTTCTTTGGTTTTCGAGTTTTCAAGTCTAAATTTTCCAATTTTACGATTTTTGAAGTTTTCTTCAAATCCAAGATTTCGTAACTTTTCGATTCTTCAGTTGCTATTTAGATTTTAGATTTTTCAATTTTTCGATATTTTGCGCTTTCAAGTTTCAATTTTTCAGTTCTCCAAATTTTAAATGTGTCAATTTTTCGATTTGAATTTCTCGAGTTTTCAATTTTTGTTTCTTCAATTTTTTGATTTGCAATTTTTCAGTTTTTCATTTTTTGTTTCTTCAATTTTACGATATGCCACTCTTCGTGTTATCAGTTTAAAATCATTCATTTTTTTCGAATTTCCATTGTTCGATTTTTCAGGTTTTCAGTTTTTGAATTTCCCGATTTTTCGTTATTTTCAATTTTCCGATTTTGCAGAATCCCGATTTAGATTTTTTCAGATTTTCCATTTCATTTCATTTTAGTTTTTGTTCCCGAATTAAAATTTTGAATTTTTCAATATTTAGATTTTGCAATTTTTTAATTTTATGGGGATTTTAATTTTCTATTTTAATTTTGTCGATTTTTCAATGTGTCGTTACTTTTTCGGATTTTCCATGTTTAGTTCCTTAAATTCATTTTTTATTTACTCAATTTTAGGAGTTTTGAATTTTCCAATTTTGCAATATTTTTCATTTCTCAAATTGTCATTTCTTTGGTTTTCGAGTTTTCAAGTCTAAATTTTCCAATTTTACGATTTTTGAAGTTTTCTTCAAATTTAAGATTTCGTAACTTTTCGATTCTTCAGTTGCTATTTAGATTTTAAATTTTTCAATTTTTCGATTTTCCATTTTTTCGTTATGGTCAATTTTTAGAAATTTGAATTTTCAGGATTATTCACGATCCCGATTTTTATATTTTCGGATTTTCCATTTTTCGTTTTTTCAGCTTTTCAAGTTTTCGAATTAAAATGTTTCGTTTTTTTTTGTAATTTTTTCGCTGTTTAAATTTATGAATTCGCAATTTTTCGATGATTTTCCATTTTTTATTTATTCAGTTTCTCGATTTTTCAGCTTTTAAATTTTAACCAATTTTGCGAATTTTGAATTCGATTCTTCAATACACATTTAAATTATTTTTCTTTTTTCAATTTTTTGGTCCGCAGGAAATAGTTATTTATTCTAAGAATAAATTTTTGAAATAACACCTAAACCTGCTCGCTGCGCTCGCTTATTCAATATTTCGCGTTAAGCTGAAAATTTCGTCTTTGTCGCTGGACTCCCGCCTTTCACGTGGTCGTTTCCTCAGACCCATAGACCTCTTCCATTCAGTCAGTCGTTTATCGGTAATCGTCGCTTCGATACCAAGCGCACGTGACGCGATGTTGATCTCAGGTGTTTTCGCAGTTTTGGCGACCGAAAGTCGAGCTAGAGACTTTTCCGAGTAACAAAAAAAAAGTGCGTTCGGTGATTTTTTCACGGTCGAAATTCCAGTCGTAGCAGGTGCGAAAAATCGTGTCCACAAGTGCGCCGTGGCCGCTAATTACCCAACAAATTATGTAAATTAGCGTAACAAGATTAGAGAAAAGTGTACGTTATGTAAATGGCACTCCATGAGAAGACTTTGATATTAAATTTCGATCGCTGCCGGCCTGACCTTTCTAGCCGTAACAAGGAACTGGTCGTGTTTTCGCTATCTTCGCAACAATCCGTATGCTAAAACGCGAATTGAAATTATTAGTTGTCCGAAGAAGAGATTTTCGTGGCGTTCGTTTTGACTTAAAATAGCACGGTGCGAATTCGGCGTGGGTGTTGTATAATACTGATTAATTCAATAACCAACCTTTCGAAAAGGTAGAAATCGGTGGCAAAACGTTTTATTGCGATTTTGCAACGTCGAAAAAATGTCGTACAAATCGGTGGTCTTGCACAACGTGCTTAACTAGAGGTTTCAAAATTTTCAATTTTTAGCACGATGTTTGCCGGTTCTTTCGAGAGTTCTTTGCGTGGTGCGTCGAACAGTCCGAAAAGCGCCAAAAGTCACGGACATGGTGCCTGCAGAGGCACCGCCCATGGTACCGGCAACTACGTCAAAGACGGCGCCTTCCAGAGGACCCCCTCCAAAAGATACAGAAAGCAGTCGCCGGTTTCTACCGAAAAAACCAAAAGTGCTAGTGTCAGTTCGGAGGGTTTTAGCGAATCGGACTCTTTAGACTCGCTGGGGGAGAAAACGAAAATCGTGGCGAAAAATGTGGACGTTTCGAGTCGGTTGTACGCGAGTACTACGAAAGCGTCGGAGGCCAAAACGGCCAAAATGAGACACTTGGATATTTTTGATGTGGACGACGCGAAGTGGACGAACGACTTGAGGAGCGACAAAACGAGAAACAAGAACAAGAAAAATAAGCGAAAAGAGAATTTAAAAAAAGTCCTCGGGGATAAGTTGGTGTTGGTGGACAAGAAGAAGCGGTTTCGGAAGTTGTCGCAAGTCCAAAACGTGGATTATAGTTGTGTGGTCTTCGTAGCTGAGAGTAGAAAGTCTTCTGGTTTTTACACTTCTCTTGATAAAGATACTTGTTTCAAAAATTTAGACGATCTGAGGGTATAGTCGTGTGTTGGGTCGGTCAATTCGTGTCTTAATCGAGGGTGGTTTTTGTTCCAGGCCAAGTCTGAAGAGCACCTGGAGAAGGAAAAGCAATGGTTGGACACGGAGAAGGTGTGGCTGATGCACCGAGGCGGTTTCACCGCCGCCATGAAAGACACCTCCGGGAGTGTCGACCCCGGGAAGCTGCGCATCTGCCTCGAACAAACCAACGAAGTTTTGACCGTCGACGAAGACGACGTCGAAAAAGCCAATCCCCCGCAGTTCGATCGAGCGGAGGACTTGGCGACCTTGCGCCACCTCAACGAGTCGAGCGTCCTCCACACACTTCGACAGAGGTACGCCACCAACTTAATCCACACGTACGCCGGCTGTGGCACCCTCCTGGTGGTCAACCCTATGGCACCGCTGGCCATTTACTCCGAAAAGGTAACACTAATCAACTAACTTTGAACAATAACGAGCGTCGTGTCTAGGTGGTGGCCCTCTTCAAGGGTTGCAAGAGCGAAGACATGCCCCCCCACATCTACTCCATGGCCCAATCCTGCTACCACAGCATGCTGTCCTCCCGCCGGGACCAATCCCTAGTCTTCCTCGGCCGCTCCGGCTCGGGAAAAACCACGAATTTCCGACACTGCGTCCAGTACCTGGTGACCGCCGCCGGTTGCGCCAACAAGATCCTCACCGTGGAGAAGCTGACGTCGTTGTGGACGGTGTTGGAGAGCTTCGGCAATTGCAGGACGGTGATGAACACGAATGCCACCAGATTCACGCACATCTTCAGCTTGGACTTCGACCAGAGCGGGGCGATCGCCTCGGCGAGCATCCAGATCTTGCTGCTGGAGAAGGCGCGGATTGCGAGGAAGGTCGAGGGGGAGACGACGTTTCATGTTATGCAGAGGCTGCTGAGCGGGGTCGAGGGTAGCTTGAGGAAGGAGCTGTTTTTGGACAACTTGTCGGGGAACGAGAGTAACGCCTTCGTGAACTTGTCCCAGAAGCACGAGGATAAGCAGAGGGCGCAAGCCGACTTTGTGAAGGTGTGTGGGGCGTTCAGCGTGCTGGGAGTCGGCGAGAACGAGCAGAAGCTGATTTTTGGAGTGTTGGCGGCGATTTATCATCTGGGGAGCGCCGGAGCTGTGAAAGGTGGGGTTTCGATGTTTTTTAATTTTTGATTTCCTTGATTCGTTTTTCCAGTTTTTAAATTTTCCAATTTTGCAATTTTTAGATATCTAATTATCCGATTTTACAATTTGTCGTTTGTTCAATTTTTCATTTTTTTTTAATTCGAAAATTTGAAAAATTAAAAAAAAGGAGAAACGAATCGAATCGAAAAATAGGAAAACCCATAAATAGTGAAATCGAAAAATTATAGAATCCTCAAAATTATCGAAAAACTGTAACATTGACAGTGTGAAAAATGGAAATATTTAAAATTGAAAAAAATAAAAATTAAATAAATTTAGAAAATAAACCGAAACGAAAAATTGCAAATAAAAAAATTGAAAAATTGCAAAATCTAAAAATTGAACGTGACAGTTGCATGTCGTAAAATATAAGAAATAAAAAAATGGAAAATTGCAAATCGAAGTTCAGTGGCATAAATAACAGCGAAATTTAAAAAAATGGAAAATTAAAAAAACAATATGTATTGAAAATTCGAAAAACTCGGTCTTATTTTAGCAGCTACTAGTACCGCTCTTTGAGGGTATGTTATTTACCAAAATCAGTTTTATCTTTCCAAAAAATAGAAAATTTGAAATTTCGAAATATGTAACGAAAAACCGAAAAACTGTAAAATCGAATAATCAAAAATCGAAAAACCGTAAAATCAAAGATGCAAAAATTGAACAGTCAAAAAGTCGAAAATTGAAAAACTGAAAATTCGGAAATTGGAAATAACGAAAAATTGAATATTTGATGAATCAAAAAGACCCAAATTCCGAAATTCGAAATATCGAAAAATCTAAAAATGGGACATCCGAAAAATCGAAGTATTAAAAAAATCAAAATATCGGTAAATCAAAAAATCTGTAATCCAAAATCGAAAATTCGAAAAATCTAAAAATAGGATAATCCAAAATTCGATGAGTGAGATATTCGAAAGATCGAAAAAAGGAATTGTACATGAAACAGTTGAAATAAAAAAAAATGTTGGAACATTGAAAAATCGAAAAATGGTAAAATTAGAGAAAATAAAAAACCGAAACGAGAAATTGCACATCGAAAATTTGAAGAAATGAAAAATTGAAGAATTGATAAATTTAAAAAAATCGAAAAAAATCAATGAATCGAAAAATAAAAAAAAAGGAGAAACGAATCGAATCGAAAAATAGGAAAACCCATAAATAGTGAAATCGAAAAATTATAGAATCCTCAAAATTATCGGAAAACTGTAACATTGACAGTGTGAAAAATGGGAAAATTTAAAATTGGAAAAAATAAAAATTAAATAAATTTAGAAAATAAACCGAAACGAGAAATTGCACATCGAAAATTTGAAGAAATGAAAAATTGAAGAATTGAAATTGAAAAAAATCGAAAAAATTAATGAATCGAAAAATTAAAAAAAAAAGTAGAAACGAATCGAATCGAAAAATAGGAAAACCCATAAATAGTGAAATCGAAAAATCATAGAATCCTCAAAATTATGGAAAAACTGTAACATTGACGGTGTGAAAAATGGAAAAAAGAAAAATTAAATAAATTTAGAAAATAAACCGAAACGAAAAATTGCAAATAAAAAAATTGAAAAATTGCAAAATCTAAAAATTGAAACATCAAAAATTTGGAAAATCGAAAAACTGAAAGATTAAAAATTAAAACGTGACAGTTGCATGTCGTAAAATATAAGAAATAAAAAAAATGGAAAATTGCAAATCGAAGAAGTTCAGTGGCGTAAATAACAACGAAATTTAAAAAAAATGGAAAATTAAAAAAACTGAATATGTATTGAAAATTCGAAAAAAATCGGTCTTATTTTAGCAGCTACTAGCCCCCCCACCCACCCTCTTTTTTCTTTGAGGGTATGTTATTTGCCAAAATCAGTTTTATCTTTCCAAAAAATGGAAAAATTGAAATTTCGAATGTAACCGAAAAATTGTAAAATCGAATAATCAAAAATTGAAAAACTGAAAATTCGGAAATTGGAAATAACGAAAAATTGAATATTTGATGAATCAAAAAGACCCAAATTCCGAAATTCGAAATATCGAAAAATCTAAAAATGGGACTTCCGAAAAATTGAAATTTTGAAACGTCGAAATGTCAAAAAATCGAAGTATTAAAAAAATCAAAATATCCGTAAATCAAAAAATCTGGAATCCAAAATCGAAAATTCGAAAAATCTAAAAATAGGGTAATCCAAAATTCGATGAGTGAGATATTCGAAAGATCGAAAAAAGGAATTGTACATGAAACAGTTGAAATAAAAAAAAATGTTGGAACATTGAAAAATCGAAAAATGGTAAAATTAGAGAAAATAAAAAACCGAAACGAGAAATTGCACATCGAAAATTTGAAGAATTGGTAAGTTGGAAAAAATCGAAAAAAATCAATGAATCGAAAAATTAAAAAAAAGGAGAAACGAATCGAATCGAAAAATAGGAAAACCCATAAATAATGAAATCGAAAAATTATAGAATCCTCAAAATTATCGAAAAACTGTAACATTGACGGTGTGAAAAATGGAAAAAAGAAAAATTAAATAAATTTAGAAAATAAACCGAAACGAAAAATTGCAAATAAAAAAATTTTAAAAATTGCAAAATCTAAAAATTGAAACATCTAAAATTTGGAAAATCGAAAAACTGAAAGATTTAAAAATGAAAACGTGACAGTTGCATGTCGTAAAATATAAGAAATAAAAAAAAATGGAAAATTGCAAATCGAAGAAGTTCAGTGGCATAAATAACAGCGAAATTTAAAAAAATGGAAAATTCAAAAAACTGAATATGTATTGAAAATTCGAAAAAATCTGTCTTATTTTAGCAGCTACAAGCCCCGCCCACCCACCCTCTTTTTTCTTTGAGGGTATGTTATTTGCCAAAATCAGTTTTATCTTTCCAAAAAATGGAAAATTTGAAATTTCGAAATATGTAACGAAAAACCGAAAAATTGTAAAATCGAATAATCAAAAATCGAAAAACCGTAAAATCAAAGATGCAAAAATTGAACAGTCAAAAAGTCGAAAATTGAAAAATTGAATATTTGATGAATCAAAAAGACCCAAATTCCAAAATTCGAAATATCGAAAAATCTAAAAATGGGACATCCGAAAAATTGAAATTTTGAAACGTCGAAATGTCAAAAAATCGAAGTATTAAAAAATCAAAATATCGGTAAATCAAAAAATCTGGAATCCAAAATCGAAAATTCCAAAAATCTAAAAATAGGATAATCCAAAATTCGATGAGTGAGATATTCGAAACATCGAAAAAAGGAATTGTACATGAAACAGTTGAAATAAAAAAAAATGTTGGAACATTGAAAAATGGAAAAATTTGAAGAAATGAAAAATTGAAGAATTGATAAATTGAAAAGTTATAAATAAAAAATTTTGAAATCCAATAACTGAAAAATGAAAATTCTAAAATCGTAAAATTAAGAAAGTGAAAAATTTTAAAAATTGTTATGAAACTGCAAAAACAAAAAATAAAAAAATCGGAAAACCGAAAGTTGAAAATCCGAAGAATTGAAAAAATAAAGAATGAAAAATCTGGGGAATTATAAATCGAAAAATTGCAACATATAAAAAATTGAAAACTTGAAAAATCTTAAATCAAAAAATTGTAAAACTGAGAAAACAAAAATGTATTAAAATGGAAACATTGAAAAATGGAATAATTGAAAAAAAAATATATAAAAAATCGAAAAATTGCTAATCGAGAAACTGAATTAAAAAAAAACATTGAAGAATTTTTTTCAAAAAAGCGAGATATGTTGGACTGCATTTCAAAGGCGAGGGAAGTTCTGTCGAAATAGCTTTCGACTCAAGTTTGTCTGTAGTAGCCACTAGCACAACATTTCTTAAGTTGTTATTGAAATTTTAATGAAACTAAATTTTAACACACCTTAAAAAAATTGTAGCGAATGTACCCATTTTTTGTTCCATCATAATCAATTTAACCCAATAATTTTTTCTTGCTCCAGCGGGACCTTCAAACAACCGTTACCAATTCGCCAACCCCCAGTCGGCCCAGCGCGCCGCCGCCCTCCTGGGCACCACCGTCGAGGAGCTTTCCCGCGTCATCTTCGGCCTGTCCTCTGGCGGCATGGTCACTCCCAACACCCCTCGCGCCCCTTTCCGCACCCCTTCACCCATCGACAAGGGCCTGGAGCGCGAAGCCGTCGGCCTAGAAGCCGTGGAAGGCATGGCTATGGGCCTCTACGCCGAAGTGTTCAACTGCATCGCCTCCCTCATCAACAGATCTATATCGGCGTCGTGCCACACCGTCTCCAGCATCCTCCTCATCGACACCCCTGGTTTCCAAAACCCGGCAACCTGCGGCCGCCAAGCCGGAGCCACCTTCGAGGACCTCTGCCACAACTACCTGCAAGAGCGCCTCCAGCTGCTCTACCACCACACCAACCTGGTGGCACCCAAGGACCGCTACCTCCAGGAAAACATCGAGTTCGCCTACGACGAAAACGAGAACGAGAACTTGATAAACCCCACGCCGCTGGTGAACCTGCTGGACAAGACGGCGCAGAACAGCGTGGTGAGGACGTCGCAGACGGATCTGCACGAAGGGGATAGGAGGGGGTTGTTGTGGTTGTTGGACGAGGAGGCAATCTACCCCGGGTCGACGGACGACTCCTTCTTGGAGAGGTTGTTCACGCATTACGGAGACAGGGATCACCAGCTGCTGCTGAGGAAGGCGCCGGGGAATAACCAGTTCATTCTTCAGCACCTGCAGGGGACGAATCCGGTGCTGTACACCGCCAAAGGGTGGCTGAAGCACAGCAGGGAGAATCCGATCGCCAGGGCGGCGGTTACGGTGTTGCAGGAGAGTTGCAAGTAAGTTTCGGTTGGTTGGATTTAGGGTGTTGAGTTCAAGGTTTTTTGTGTGGTTTCAGGGAGGATTTGAGCAAGTTGTTCGTTAGTGTGAGAGGATTGGGGGCGACGACGTTCAGCGGATCGCTGGTGGGGATCGAGGGGACGCAGTCGTTGAGGAGGGCGTCCAGTATTAGGAGGACTTTTACGGCGGGGACGGCTGCCATAAAACGCAAGAGTATATGCTTACAGGTGGGTCGAAAAAGCAAAAAGTCGCTACAGAGTGACAGGTTTATTGCTTAGACGGTCAAGATAAAATTCATGAGGTGTGTACATTGTGCTTATTGTTTGTTTAACGTTTTTAGTATGAAAAAAATTGTTGGATTTAGTAGGTTAGTGTAACTGCACAATTAACATTTTCTAATCGTTGACCCGTTCAGAGAAATCGTTAAAAATAACGTTATTGTTTGCATTAACACTATAAAGATTCAGTCTGAATTGTGTTAACTTTAAATTTGACTTTGTGGGTAGGTTTTGTTTAAATGCCTGGGTGTATAATGCGTTGCCTATGCAAGAGTTTGAAAAACCTGCATTTCTGTGAAGATCTTGGTTTCTTTTTTTTTTTTTTTTTAATGTGAAATATCATAAAGGTTCCTGCAGTGCCATCTTTGAATACATTTGAAAAAATCTGGAGGCCCCAAGTGCCTCGATTTTTCAGTTTTCGCATTTATCGATTTTATTAACTTTCGGTTTTCCATTTTTCAATTTTTCGATCTTAGATTTTTCAATTTTTAAGTTTTCAATTCCCAATGGTTACCAAAAGTCAACGAAGATTCGGTTGACTTTTGGTAACCATTTAGACAATTTTGATTTTAATTCCCCATTTTCGAATTTTTGGTTTTTTTTGAAATGTCGAATTTTTGATTTTTCAATTCTTGTCTTTGATTTTTGGGTTTCCTGTTTTAGATTTTTCCATTTTCGGTTTTTCGGCATTTCGAATTTTCGAATTTTTGAATTTTCCATTTTTTTGAATTATCGATTTTAATTCATAAAACATAGATTTACTGGCTAAAAGAACAAAAGTTCCAAAACAGAGACACAAAGGTTATACAAAAAAATTGATTTTTCGATTTTTTTTTCTTAAAAGCATGATGATTGTTTTGAAAGAGTTTGAAAGATTCTAGGATGAAATTCTCATGTGTCTTTTTTCTTAAAAGAAATATCTTGTGAATCTGCATTAAAGTGTGGGCTCAAACACGCTTACAGAAATGGTCATTTTTTTGAGGGCGAGCGAAATTTTGCCTAAACTCATTTTTTTTCCATTTCTCGTATCCAGTATTAGCTCGTTTTGGATTTTTGGATTTATTTTCAATTCCTTTGGGTTTTTCCGATTTTTTGGATTTTTTCTTTTTCTGATTTCTTTTTTCGATATTTTCGTTTTGGAGTTTCTAGATTTTTTTCGAATTATTGAATTTCTTGGATTTTTTTCTAATCTGGATTATTGATATTATGGCATTTTTTCATTTTTTTTTGGCTCATGGATTTTTTAGTATTTTGGAATTGTTATTTTTGGTTTCGGTTTTTTGGAATTATTGGGTTTTTTGGAATTTTTCGACATTTTGAATTCATTTAATTCTTTAGTTTTTTTTTAGTTTTTTTTTTTGGATTTTGTGAATTTTGAATTTTTTGGACATTTTCGTTTTGGAGTTTTTGGATTTTTGGGATTTTTTTTGATATTTCGAATTTTTTCCTCGAGGATTTTTTGGAATTATGTATTATTTTGGGTTTTTGATATTATTACATTTTTTCATTTTTCTAATCGATTTGTTGACTTTTTTCGGATTTTTGGAATTACGTATTGGATTTTTTGAATTTTTAGAATTTTTGGAACTCTTGAATTTTGTGATTTTTTTCGATTTCTTTGGATTTTTTTCGGTTGTTTGGAATTCTTCGATTTTTTGATTTTCTCGTTTTGGATTTTTGGAATTATTATTTCTTGAATTTTTTTCTATTGGATTTTTTCGATTTTAGGAATTATGAACTGATTTTTTGCATTTTTGAATTATTGAACTTCGTGGATTTTGATTTTTTGCATATCTTCGATTTGCAGTTTTTGGATTTTTAGCATTTTTTGGAATTTCATCGATTTTTCAGATTTTTTCCTCTTGGATTTTTTGGATTTTTGGAATTATGAATTGAATTTTTTTGGAATTTCGTATTGGATTATTTGGATTTTTTCCTTACGGATTTTTTAGTATTTTGGAAACGTTGGATTTTTTTGTTTAGGATTTTTGGAATTTTTCGATATTTTGAATTCTATAAATTTTTTAGTTTTTTTTTATTTTGTCCCTTTTGGATTTTTAGAATTATTGGAATTCGTGGAATTTGGATTTTTGGATTTTTGAAATTATTGCATTTGTTGAGTTTTGTCGTTTTGAATTCACCGATTTTTTTTTTTTGATTTTTGCATTGTTGGAATTATTTACAGATTTTTTTTTTTTGGATTTTTGAATTATCGAATTGAATTTTTTGCATATTTTCGTTTGGAGTTTTTAGATTTTTGTAATTTTTTTTGGAATGTTAACGATTTTTCAGATTTTTTCCTCTTGAATTTTTTGGATTTTTGGAATTATGAATTGGATTTTCTTGGATTTGTTCAATTTGGATTTTTGGAATTATTGGATTTCTTGGCTTTTTTTTCCTTGCATTTTTTGAATTATGTATTGATTTTTTTGGATTTGTGATTTATTGGATTTCGTGGATTTTGATTTTTTGCATATTTTCGTTTTAGAGTTTTTGGATTTTTGGGATTTTTTGGAATTTCATCGATTTTTCAGATTTTTTCCTCTTGGATTTTTTAGATTTTTGAATTAATGAATTTCTTCATTTTTTCGACTTGGATTTTTGAAATTATTATATTTTTCATTTTTTAATCGATGTTTTTGCGCCTTTTTGGATTTTTGGAATTACGTATTGGATTTTTGTATTTTATCTTTACGGATTGTTTAGTATTTCGGAATTGTGGCATTTTTTCGTTTAGGATTTTTGGAATTTTTTGATATTTTGAATTCTATCAACTTTTTATTTTTTTCTGTTTTTTTTTTTAATTATGCCGCTTTAGGATTTTTAGAATTATTGGATTTTTGAGTTTATTCGATTTTTTGGATTTTTAAAATAATTGGATTTCTTGAGTTTTGTTGTTTTGGGTTTTTCTTGTTTTTTTTTTCGATTTCTTTGGATTTGTTCCATTTTTTGGAATTCATCGATTTTTTTAATTTTGGATTTTTAGAATTATGTATTTGTTTTCTTGGATTTTTGCAATTATTTATTGATTTTTTTTTTTGATTTTTGAATTATTGAATTTCGTGGATTATGAATTTTTTGGATATTTTTGTTTGGAGTTTTTGGATTTTTTTGGAATTTCAACGATTTTTTAGATTTTTTCCTCTTGAATTTTTTGGAATTATTGGATTTCTTGGCTTTTTTTTCTTGGATTTTTTGAATTATGTATTGATTTTTTTTGTATTTGTGAATTATTGGATTTCGTGGATTTTGAATTTTTTGGATATTTTCGTGTTGGATTTTTGTATTTTATCTTTACGGATGTTTTAGTATTTCGGAATTGTGGCATTTTTTCGTTTAGGACTTTTGGAATTTTTCGATATTTTGAATTCTATCAATTTTTAGTTTTTTTCTATTTTTTTTTTAATTATGTCGCTTTAGGATTTTTAGAATTATTGGATTTTCTGGATTTTGGAGTTTTTAAATAATTTTGTTTTGGATTTTTGGGTTTATTCGATTTTTTGGATTTTTAAAATTATTGGATTTCTTGAGTTTTGTTGTTTTGGTTTTTTCTTGTTTTTTTTCGATTTCTTTGGATTTTTTCCATTTTTTGGAATTCGTCGATTTTTTTGATTTTGGATTTTTAGAATTATGTATTTGTTTTCTTGGAATTTTGGAATTATTTATTGATTTTTTTTTGGATTTTTGAATTATTGAATTTCGTGGATTTTGAATTCTTTGGATATTTTTGTTTGGAGTTTTTGGATATTTTTGTTCGGAGTTTTTAGATTTTTTTTGGAATTTCAACGATTTTTTAGATTTTTTCCTCTTGAATTTTTTGGAATTATTAGATTTCTTGGATTTTTTGAAGTACGTATTGATTTTTTTGTATTTGTGAATTATTGGATTTCGTGGATTTTGAATTTTTTGGATATTTTCGTGTTGGATTTTTGTATTTTATCTTTACGGATGTTTTAGTATTTCGGAATTGTGGCATTTTTTCGTTTAGGATTTTTGGAATTTTTCGATATTTTGAATTCTATCAACTTTTTATTTTTTTCTGTTTTTTTTTTAATTATGCCGCTTTAGGATTTTTAGAATTACTGGATTTTCTGGATTTTGGATTTTTTCAATAATTTTGTTTTGGATTTTTGGGTTTATTCGATTTTTTGAATTTTTAAAATAATTGGATTTCTTGAGTTTTGTTTTGGGTTTTTCTTGTTTTTTTTTCGATTTCTTTGGATTTTTTCCATTTTTTGGAATTCATCGATTTTTTTGATTTTGGATTTTTAGAATTATGTATTTGTTTTCTTGGATTTTTGAAATTATTTATTGATTTTTTTTGGATTTTTGAATTATTGAATTTCGTGGATTTTGAATTTTTTGGATATTTTTGTTTGGAGTTTTTGGATATTTTTGTTTGGAGTTTTTGGATTTTTTTTTGGAATTTCAACGATTTTTTAGATTTTTTCCTCTTGAATTTTTTGGAATTTTTTGATTTCTTGGCTTTTTTATTTCTTGGATTTTTTGAATTATGTATTGATTTTTTTTGTATTTGTTAATTATTGGATTTCGTGGATTTTGAATTTTTTGGATATTTTCGTGTTGGATTTTTGTATTTTATCTTTACGGATGTTTTAGTATTTCGGAATTGTGGCATTTTTTCGTTTAGGATTTTTGGAATTTTTCGATATTTTGAATTCTATCAACTTTTTATTTTTTTCTGTTTTTTTTTAATTATGCCGCTTTAGGATTTTTAGAATTACTGGATTTTCTGGATTTTGGATATTTTAAATAATTTTGTTTTGGATTTTTGGGTTTATTCGATTTTTTGGATTTTTAAAATTATTGGATTTCTTGAGTTTTGTTGTTTTGGGTTTTTCTTGTTTTTTTCGGTTTCTTTGGATTTTTTCAATTTTTTGAATTCATCGATTTTTTTGATTTTGGATTTTTAGAATTATGTATTTGTTTTCTTGGATTTTTGGAATTATTTATTGATTTTTTTTGGATTTTTGAATTATTGAATTTCGTGGATTTTGAATTTTTTGGATATTTGTGTTTGGAGTTTTTGGATTTTTTTTTTGAATTTCAACGATTTTTTAGATTTTTTCCTCTTGAATTTTTTGGATTTCTTGGCTTTTTTCTTGGATTTTTTGAATTATGTATTGATTTTTTTGTATTTGTGAATTATTGGATTTCGTGGATTCTGGATTTTTTGGATATTTTCGTGTTGGAGTTTTTGTATTTTTGGGATTTTTGGAATTTTATCGATTTTTCAGATTTTTTCCTCTAGGATTTTTTGGATTTTGGAATTACGAGTTGGATTTTTGAATTATTGGATTTCTTAGATTTTTTCGATATTTTGAAGTATATCAATTTTTACTTCAGACTGGTTTTTTTAATCGTAATCCTTATTTTTTTAACAAGAGAAAGTGCTTTCTCGCTATTATACATATCTTTTAATCATCTCGTTTCGACACCTGGACAACCCAAATAAAATCTTCATTTCAGAGTATAACGTGTTGCCTATCTTTCAGACCAAATTCACCGTAGACGGCCTAGTCGAGACGCTCCGTCGCACCCGCCTCCGCTTCGTCCACTGCCTCCTCCCCCAGCACAACGCCGGCTTCTGCGAGGCCTTGGCCGTGAAAACCAGCCTGGGCCAATCCGAGGACGCCCTAATGAACGTCCCACTCCTACGATCCCAGATACGCGGAGGCCAAATCCTCGACGCCGTCCGCCTCCACAAGCAAGGCTTCCCGAACTTCCTTCCCCTCGGCGAATTCAGGCGACGCTTCAGACTCCTAGCCGGCGACAGCAAAATATCCAGCCCGGTCCTGGACGAGCGGAAGGCCGTCGAGGACATGCTGCTCGCCGTCGACTTGGAGCTGTCCAGCTACAGGGTCGGACTGAGCCAGGTACGCACAAATCAATTCAAAAACACCTGAAACCCTGTTAAATCGGTGCTCGATTTTACGACCGGTTGTCTGCCACGCTCCAACAGCCCCACAGGTGATTCTACTTTCACAGCGCACCCTCATCCAAAAGAGTGCGTTGACTTCGACTTTCACCCGAGATGATGATGGAAATGTGTGCCGCTTGTTTTGTTGTTCGATTGCACCGGTAAAGGTGCAGCCTTTTTTCTCGTTAATGGAAGAAAGGTTGGCGATTTTAAACCGGTCTGACCTCTATTTTCTCGGCGAAGATGCGAGCACGATTAACATACAATGTAGGTTCGCATTCTGGGCTGTTTGGTGGTTTTTTCCGGCGAGGTTTTGGCTTTTCGGGCCGTTACGTAAGGCGTTTTTCGGATGGCAGAGTCTGCGTACCGAAAATAACAAGACGGGATTTCTGCACGTCGGTTGCGGTTACGGTGCATTAGGATTCTGCGGTTGGGGCGCTCGGGTGTGTTTTCTTGACCTTGTGGTGAAGCGGAGGTTATTTTAAAGTTTAAAACGAAGGCGAAGTTGGTGCGATAGAAGTGGATTTAAAAAAAAATCACACGACTTTCTTTCGTAGAAATCACACTTTGTTTATGTATATCAAAAGAAAGTTTGACACAATCTAATCTTGTTTTTTATTTTTGGCGCTTTTTTTGCCGTTTTACTACCCGAGCGTAAGCTAAGGAAGAAATTAAATTTTTTTGAAAAAAAAAAATGTAAACATCACGACATATTCCAAGTTTAACTTTGAAACTGCAAAACCGATTGCTCTGAAATCTTGCAAATGTTTTAAAGTTATCCTAAGAATGGTAAATCGTTGACCAAAATTTTTTTCGGTTAGCCCTCCCCAAAAAATGTTTACGTCATTTTAGAATTTTGCCGAATTTTCCTTAAATTTTACAGAATTACGACTCCTGCATGAGTCATTCATGAATCCGTGTTGAGTTTTTATCCTAAACGTACAGATTTTTTTTTAAATCAAAATTATATGTCATTTTACAATTTAAAAATCATCAGTTTTGAGGTTATAAGGATTTTTAGATTTTCGAACATTTGATTCATCGAATTTTCGAATATTTGATTAATCGATTTTTGGGATTTCCTATTTTGGTTATTCTATTTTCGATTTCGAATTTTTCGAAATTCGATTTTTTTTTAATTTCTTCTGTTTCAATTTCTCGATTTTTCGAATTTTCGTTTTTTCAATTTTCAATTCATCGAATTTTCGATTTTTCGATATTGAATTTTCAATTTTTATTTCTCGATCTTTCAGTTTTTCCATTTTTCGAATTTTCGATTTGTCAGGTTTTTAATTATACGACTTCAATTTTTCCACATTTGACATTTCAGTTTTCCTATATTTCGATTCTTGGATTTCTCGATTTTTCTTAATCTCGATTTTCGAATTTTCAATTTTTGAATTCATTTTTTTCAATTTTTAGAATTTTTGATTTTGATTCTTCAGTTTTTTTTACTTCTTGATTTTCCAATCTCAGTTTTTCGATTTTTAGTTTCTCGAAATGTTCGATTTTTCAAGTTTTACATTCATCAGTTTTTATACTTTTCAATTTTTCCACTCATCGATTTCCCAAATTTTTAATTCCATTCTTCCCTTTTCCATTTTTCGAAGTTTTCGAAAGTTTGTACTTTTCAGAAACGCGATTTATTTGACTTTTTTATCAGGTTTTTAATTATACGACTTCAATTTTTCCACATTTGATATTTCAATTTTCCTATATTTCGATTCTTGGATTTCTCGATTTTTCTTAATCTCGATTTTCGAATTTTCAATTTTTCAATTCATTTTTTCAATTTTTAGAATTTTTGATTTTGATTCTTCAGTTTTTTAACTTCTTGATTTTCCAATCTCAGTTTTTCGATTTTTAATTTCTCGAATGTTAGATTTTTCAAGTTTTACATTCATCAGTTTTTATACTTTTCAATTTTTCGACCCATCGATTTCCCAAATTTTTAATTCCATTCTTCCCTTTTCGATTTTTCGAAGTTTTCGAATCGCCACGGTTTGTACTCTTCAGAAACGCGATTTATTTGACTTTTTTATCAGGTTTTTAATTATACGACTTCAATTTTTCCACATTTGATATTTCAGTTTTCCTATATTTCGATTCTTGGATTTGTCGATTTTTCTTAATCTCGATTTTCGAATTTTCAATTTTTGAATTAATTTTTTCAATTTTTAGAATTTTTGATTTTTGATTTTGATTCTTCAGTTTTTTAACTTCTTGATTTTCCAATCACAGTTTTTCGATTTTTAGTTTCTCGAATGTTCGATTTTTCAAGTTTTACATTCATCAGTTTTTATACTTTTCAATTTTTCGACCCATTGATTTCCCAAATTTTTAATTCGATTCTTCCCTTTTCGATTTTTCGAAGTTTTCGAAACGCCACGGTTTGTACTTTTCAGAAACGCGATTTATTTGACTTTTTTATCAGGTTTTTAATTATACGACTTGAATTTTTCCACATTTGACATTTCAATTTTCCTATGTTTCGATTCTTGGATTTCTCGATTTTTCTTAATCTCGATTTTCGAATTTTCAAGTTTTGAATTAATTTTTTCAATTTTTAGAATTTTTGATTTTGATTCTTCAGTTTTTTACTTCTTGATTTTCCAATCACAGTTTTTCGATTTTTAGTTTCTCGAATGTTCGATTTTTCAAATTTTACATTCATCAGTTTTTATACTTTTCAATTTTTCGACTCATCGATTTCCCAAATTTTTAATTCCATTCTTCCCTTTTCGATTTTTCGAAGTTTTCGAAACGCCACGGTTTGTACTTTTCAGAAACGCGATTTATTTGACTTTTTTATCAGGTTTTTAATTATACGACTTCAATTTTTCCACATTTGATATTTCAATTTTCCTATATTTCGATTCTTGGATTTCTCGATTTTTCTTAATCTCGATTTTCGAATTTTCAATTTCTGAATTCATTTTTTCAATTTTTAGAATTTTTGATTTTGGTTCTTCAGTTTTTTTACTTCTTGATTTTCCAATCTCAGTTTTTCGATTTTTAGTTTCTCGAATGTTCGATTTTTCAAGTTTTACATTCATCAGTTTTTATACTTTTCAATTTTTCGACTCATCGATTTCCCAAATTTTTAATTCCATTCTTCCCTTTTCGATTTTTCGAAGTTTTCGAAACGCCACGGTTTGTACTTTTCAGAAACGCGATTTATTTGACTTTTTTATCAGGTTTTTAATTATACGACTTCAATTTTTCCACATTTGACATTTCAGTTTTCCTATATTTCGATTCTTGGATTTCTCGATTTTCGAATTTTCAATTTTTGAATTCATTTTTTCAATTTTTAGAATTTTTGATTTTGGTTCTTCAGTTTTTGTACCTCTTGATTTTCCAATCTCAGTTTTTCGATTTTTAGTTTCTCGAATGTTCGATTTTTCAAGTTTTACATTCATCAGTTTTTATACTTTTCAATTTTTCGACTCATCGATTTCCCAAATTTTTAATTCCACTCTTCCCTTTTCGATTTTTCCAAGTTTTCGAAACGCCACGGTTTGTACTTTTCAGAAACGCGATTTATTTGACTTTTTTATCAGGTTTTTAATTATACGCCTTCAATTTTTCCACATTTGATATTTCAGTTTTCCTATATTTCGATTCTTGGATTTCTCGATTTTTCTTAATCTCGATTTTCGAATTTTAAATTTTTGAATTAATTTTTTCAATTTTTAGAATTTTTGATTTTTGATTTTGGTTCTTCAGTTTTTTTACTTCTTGATTTTCCAATCACAGTTTTTCGATTTTTAGTTTCTCGAATGTTCGGTTTTTCAAGTTTTACATTCATCAGTTTTTATACTTTTCAATTTTCCGACTCATCGATTTCCCAAATTTTTAATTCCATTCTTCCCTTTTCGATTTTTCGAAGTGTTCGAAACGCCACGGTTTGTACTTTTCAGAAACGCGATTTATTTGACTTTTTTATCAGGTTTTTAATTATACGACTTGAATTTTTCCACATTTGACATTTCAGTTTTCCTATATTTCGATTCTTGGATTTCTCGATTTTCGAATTTTCAATTTTTGAATTCATTTTTTCAATTTTTAGAATTTTTGATTTTGGTTCTTCAGTTTTTGTACTTCTTGATTTTCCAATCTCAGTTTTTCGATTTTTAGTTTCTCGAATGTTCGATTTTTCAAGTTTTACATTCATCAGTTTTTATACTTTTCAATTTATCGACTCAACGATTTCCCAAATTTTTAATTCCATTCTTCCCTTTTCGATTTTTCGAAGTTTTCGAAACGCCATGGTTTGTACTTTTCCGAAACGCGATTTATTCGACTTTTTTATCAGGTTTTTAATTATACGACTTCAATTTTTCCACATTTGATATTTCAATTTTCCTATATTTCGATTCTTGGATTTCTCGATTTTTCTTAATCTCGATTTTCGAATTTTCAATTTTTGAATTCATTTTTTCAATTTTTAGAATATTTGATTTTTGATTTTGATTCTTCAGTTTTTTAACTTCTTGATTTTCCAATCTCAGTTTTTCGATTTTTAGTTTCTCGAATGTTCGATTTTTCAAGTTTTACATTCATCAGTTTCTATACTTTTCAATTTTTCGACTCATAGATTTCCCAAATTTTTAATTCCATTCTTCCCTTTTCGATTTTTCGAAGTTTTCGAAACGCCACGGTTTGTACTTTTCAGAAACGCGATTTATTTGACTTTTTTATCAGGTTTTCAATTATACGACTTCAATTTTTCCACATTTGGTAGTTCAATTTTCCTATATTTCGATTCTTGGATTTCTCGATTTTTCTTAATCTCGATTTTCGAATTTTCAATTTTTGAATTCATTTTTTCAATTTTTAGAATTTTTGTTTTTTGAATTTGATTCTTCAGTTTTTTAACTTCTTGATTTTCCAATCTCAGTTTTTCGATTTTTAGTTTCTCGAATGTTCGATTTTTCGGGTTTTACATTCATC